CAAATAAGAGAGAGCTTCCCACTCACCATAATGAACCACAGCAGCCCAGAGTTCCAGCATTCATGGGCCCGGTGCTGTTGTGTGAGCAGGAGGTGGAAAAAAGTTACTTGAACAGAAAAATAGTGATGGTGAGTGAAAATGCAAGGCTCTGAACTTCTTCAGCATTTGAGCATAACATTAGGTATGAATCTGTGGTATTTTTCTTTTGGTGGGAACTTTATTTGAGCAAACAGTATTTTGAATTTTGATCCCTGTTTTTTCTGTTTAAGTACAATTCCTGTTTGTCAGTCTCCACATCCATTCTCTTCACTCTCACCTCCAAAATAGATTTGACTCTCTAGATCACCTCTGCAAGAGTTCCTAGGAAAGAGATGCAGCACTGGGAAGAGGTGTGCTGTGTGTCTCCAGCAGCTCTTGGGAATCACTCTGCTCCCAGTAGGTGCTCCTGAGCAAGTCCAAAACTAGAGCCAGTGGCTCTAGCCCAGGAGAATCTTCCCCGGTATTTTTAAAGGACTGCTTTTTTTTTTTCACTTCTGCCCAATTGGTCAACCTGCAGTGGAGCAGAAGCAGGAATCTACTGCCATATCTTATTTTTGGGTTGATGCAGTAGATCAGGACAGCTGTCATTAGTTCTTGCATAAGAGTTTTCCATAAAAAATGCAGATCCTTTAGGAAAGCATCCCAGGTATGCATCAACATGTTCTTAGGGTGTTTAGCCTCCTTATGGTCATGTAGGTCTCCACCCCCTGCTAATGCCCAGCCATCCAGCCCAGCCATTCAACTGCTCTGTGTTTTCCTTTGTGTGGGAAAGTCCTTCTTTTCCCTGAGGATACAGGGAAACACCATCTGAGCAGCAAGCCTTGGCCTGCTGCCACTTCCTAGATCTGTTTGCTTCCCAATGTGGGAATGGACTAGTACAGGCAGGGAATATGAAGGAACTGTGTGCACTCTCTGCTGTGGGGTTAATCCATCCCAGGGGAAGAATTTTTCCATCTTGTTGAACTTCAGAAGGTTTCTTTTGCCCTGTCACCTGTACTCTGTTACCTTATTATGGTCGTGTCAGCCACAGCCAGGAGCTCTTCAAAGCTGGCAGAAGGATCCACAGCACCTACTGCAGTGATTAGAGCAAGAGTCCTATTCACAGAATCCCAGAATGGTTTGGGTTGGAAGAGACCTTGGGTTGGCAGGGACACCTTCCACCAGCCCAGGTTGCTCCAAGCCCCATCCAACCTGGCCTTGGACACTTCCAGGGATCCAGAGGCAGCTACAGCTTCTCTGGGCAACCTGTACTAGTGATCATACCCATGGTGCCTTCTCACCTAACTTTGTGCTTGCTCCCAGCCCCTTCAGCAGGAGTGCAGAGACTACTGCTCCTAATTTCTTACCTATTCAACCATTAATGCACCACTAGATTTTGGTTTTCTTCTCCTATTGCAGCCATATCTCCCCTCCTCCCCTTATTGCTTTTGGGGTTTGATCAAGCAGTTTTGTCTTCTCCTTTCCCACAAAGATATGTGCAGGCTCTTCTTTATCTGCTGAACTTTTAGAAGGATGTCAGTCCCTCGCTCAGCTGTTTCATGGGGATGATCATGTGCACACAGTCAGAAAGGACAGGAGCTGCTTCTGTGTTCACTGGCTCACTTATAGCCAAGTGTGTCCAGATTCAGAGATAGCTGCATTGCCCTGGTTCACTGAACCTGCAGGAAGAAATTTAACCAGCCAAGTCTTCATTATTGGTGCTCAGAACTGGTTTCAGTGGTGCTCAGTCTGGAGAGATCCATGGGATGGCAGATGTTAGGAATGAAAGGATGTGCCCCAATCAAAACCAACTTCAAAGAAATCTCTGTGATAGTTTTATAATTTAAAAATCCTACGTTCTTTCATTGCTTTGCCGTTAAACACATGAAATGCTGAAGTTTGCTCTTTATGTTGAAGCTTCTTAGAGTCAGAAGTGGCAACCGTGTGAGAGCTGACTGTGTCAAGCAGCAAGCAAAAATTCAGATTAAAGCAAAACAAGCTCTCAGTTTTTCACGTATTTTTCATCTTTTCAAGATGGCAGAAGGATCAGTTGTGGGCTTAAACATGAACTTGAGCACAGGGAGCCACGTCCAGTTTTGGCCTCCGCTGTGGGTGTGTGTGATGCAGGATAATCCCTGCCCGTTCCTGGGCAGGAGTCAGGCCGTTCTTCTTACACAGAGATTGCTACGATGATAAACAGGGTATGAACTGCAAGGGCTGTGGATGTCTGACTGAGGAAATTCGTAGTTTTTTTGTAACAGTGCTCCCTTCACTGTTTCTGAGTGCACGGCCCGTGCTGGTTGAATGATCACCCCACCGGCTTCAGAGCGGGAGGGGGTGACACGTTCTGGTGAAGGGAGGACGGGGGGAACTCAGTGCACGAACCACCCCACTCCAGGCAGCGATTCTCCCTTCTGTCCTGCAGGTGAAAGGTGCTGCTGCCCGAGGGGATGGGAGCTGCCCAGCCAACTGCGGGAAGGTCCCGTGGCTGGGGAGGGAGAGGCAGGAGCTGGGGCATCGCTGCTCCGGTTCCCGGCGCGGGCAGGGAGAGCGGGGGGCGGGGGGAAAGCGCTTAAACCCAAAGTTCAGCGAAGCGACAAACCAGCTCTTCAGGGCGAACCGTCCCTGCCTCTCAGCCTGTGCCTTTAAGCCCCGCCGCGAACTCCCCCCGTGCCTCCCACCGCCCCCTCCGCGCCCCGGCCGGGGGAGCTCGGGGAGAACCTGCCGGGGAAAGCACCTGAGGCAACGGGAAGAGCAAAGCGGGTGAGTCCCTGCTCCTTCTTAGGGGCTCTTTTCGTTTTCTCCAAGGTGCCGGGCTCTCTTGGCTCGGACGGGAACAGGAAAACCTGCGCCTTCCCCGACAGCCGAACCCACCCGCGGGTGCTCCTCTGCGACCACCGCGATCCCTCCTGCCCGGCGATGGGGCTCGGACAGCCCTCCACCTCCTCCTCCTCCTCCTTCTTGTTCTTCTTCTCCTCCTCCTCCTCCTCCTCCTCTTCCTTCTTGTTCTTCTTCTCCTCCTCCTCCTTCTCCTCCTCGCTTCTCCATCAGGGTCAAGCAGGTTTGCTGCCTGCACCCGCAGATTTCCAGACAAGCAGGAGTCTGAAGTTGCTTCTCCTGCTGGATTTCCCCCCGTGCTCGGGGAAATCCCTCTTGCTCTGCTGGTTCTGAGGAAACAGCTTGTTTGTGAATTAATTGCCTGTGGGGAAAGCAGCTAAGCTCACCTCCTAGTAAGAGAGGGAAACAACTTCTGTGCTTCCTCAGCACATAAACCTACTTGCTTATGGCTCAGTAGTTTTTATTATGTGATGCTGAAGTGCTTTTTAGTGGTTTTCAATTCCGTGTAACACTAACATGATTCACGGGAGGTTGGGTGGGACCACTTTGCACAAATGAGTGGAGGGGAATTTTTTCTGCTCCTGAGACCAAAGGAACCCACTGGCCACAGAAATGGGCTCCCCACTGAATGTCTGTGGAAGCTGAACCCTTCTGCCAGCTGTGTGTTTCTGTAGGACATTTCATCTTTTGTGTGTTAATCAGCAAACACATGTGGGGCCTAATGGATGAACCTTAGTGGAGAGTGACCTCTAGACCCTCTTCTCTGAAAGTACTGGTTAAGGGGAAACATCTTATTTTCTTTAACACTTTGGAAACCAAATGCAGAGAATGATCTATATTATTTAAAAGCTATAGCAAATTACAAAATATTCTAGAAAGAAGGTTCAGGGTAGCTTATGGGAAACAAACAGCTTTGGCAGTAATGCAGACCTAAATGCTATAAGCAACCTCCATGGGCTGGGAACAGCACCATCATTTGAGCTCAAATAAAAGTTTCTGCAGCTGGATGGTGCTTTGTTCCCACGGTTGAAGGAAAGGGCTTGAGAGTCGCCCTGCTTTGCACCCACTTGTCTGCCAAGTGAGGCTGGTCTGCAGGGAGCCCAGCACAGCCCCTGTACCCTGTTCAAGGGGTCCCTGTGGGTGAGGTGCCAAGCAAGGCAACACAGCCCAGGGCAGGACTTGGGCTGTCCACGTGGGCAGCACCCTGTGGCCTCTGCCTGGGGATGGTCTCAGACAGGAGGGGCTGGGCTGAAGCTGTGCATGGTCACACAGCCCCAGCACTGGAGTTTAGCAGTGACACTGCTGTGTGTTGATACATGCAGAGTTTCATTCTGCAGCCTCTGAGGTTAATGACAAAAATCCCATTGACTCAGGTGCTGTGAGTTCGCTGCTTGACTGGTATCTTTCCTCACTGGCTGGTTTCTCTCTGTGATCTCTCCCTTTGAGGGAACATGCATTGCAGATGACTGGTTTCAGGGTAGCGTGGGGGTTTTGTGCCCATGAACACTGATGCCTACCTGTCAACCTGTAAGAACAGCTGAAGCTAGGGAAAAATGTAATGTACACATTGCTTTTAATGTATGTCAGCTGGTAAGAAAGAATAAAATGTGCCTATCTGCAAAATGAAGACATCGAGTTTAGCCCCTGTTCCTTGAAGAACCTCTGGTCCCAGTATTGTCCACTGACTTCATTGGGACCAAGATTCCTTCCACAGCCTTTGCACTGGGCCAGTGCAAAGTGTCCAAGGGAGGCGAGTGGATGTCCCTAAAGGAGATACCATGAGTTAAGCATGTGAGTTTTTCCTGGCCATTCATGAGCTGAAAAGTATCAAATTATATAGTGCTCCTCTTGTGAAAAGTAACCAGACAAACATAGGCTTCCTGACTTACTGGATACTCCCCATGTGTATTCAGTATTTACTACCTGTACCGAGTTTTCAGTCCAGCACAGTGAGGGGGCAGGAGAGTTGCCTTTATTTTATTGTGTAATCCACGGCTAAAAGTTTAAGAAGTAATTGCAGGTACAAATCCGCCCAGTACTCTGTTACCAAAGGGAGAGCTCAGGGCTGAGTGTCTCCAAGGTGGAAGTGATGTTAGAGCCTTTGTTACCAGTGATAATACCAGCACCAGGGAGCCCAGCCTGTCTGTCATGCCCCAGCTGAGGCTGCTGAGCTGGCAGGCAGGGAGAGGATCTTCTTACTTGTAAATTGAGAGACATTTGCAGACCAAGAGGGACAATAAACAAGGCCAGCACAGTGTCACTGGGCTTGCTGAGAGCAGGACTACAGCTGAACCAGAGGCACCTCCAAGGAGAGGGCAGCAGGTGAGTAGGGACTTTCAGATTTGCTCACTTGCAGGCCACACGTGGTCTGGGGGCTCTTCACTCACCTCAATGACAAGAGCTGTCCTCACTCCAGAGTCTGCAGCCTCTTAGGTGACAGTGTTTCCTTCTGCTTGAAAGTAGGGTGCAGTCTTTCAAATGCAGCACAACCCCCTCTGAATGTTAACCTACAGAGATGGGGCCGTGCACAGTTCTACGTGTCCATTACAGAAACTGGAGATGGGTTAAAGCAAAAGGATTAAAGACATGCAGTGTTGGGTGGCCCAAGGAACCAGAGTGGTGGCCACTGACATTCATGGCACACGAAACAAAAAGGCCACGTTAGCCAAACCTGTGTCTGCTGGTCCTGGGGGTGGGTTTGATGCTGAGAGCTCTGTCCTGTATCTGTTCAGCTTTTTTTTTATGGCATAGCATCATCTCTTCAGAAGGTTTAAGGGAAGACACCAGGAAACAACAGTGTTGGAATGAATTCCAACACTCCCTTCTCTGGAGCCCCACTCCCAGAGTGGCTCTGAGGGACCCCTGAGCCATAAGGGGGAACTGGCACATGGTTTTTGGCCTCTCCAGACTGACATGTCCTTGCACTGCACCACCACCCAACAGGTACCACTGGTTATAAATCCACTCCCCTAGGAAGGTATCCTACCTTCCTTCTCTCAGTAGCTGGTGCCACAAGTGAGCCCCATTTCTATACAAGTAAATTCCCAACTGTAAGGAAAAAAATCACAAGGTTTTGACCCCATTTTAACTGGGATTGGCTGTTCCCACCACCACACTCTGCCAGCAGACCTGTCCACATCTTCTCACCTCCCCTGGTCATGCTTCTGCTTTCACTTACAGCAAATGACCACCTTCTCTCTCTCCTGCTCAAGCTCATGGTTTGGTGACACAGATGTGGTTTGTTTTCTGGCACCTGAGATTTTGAATGGTGAACCCACCAAATGAGGCAGGCTGGAGTCTGCTTACTCATTTTGGGCTACCTCCTTCTGGAGAAATAGTGTGCTTCTACTGTGTTCCTCCTCTGAAGTGCCACAAGTCTTATCTTGCTGATAAAATCAGTAGTCCTTCACTTGCCTTTGGCCACAGGCTCATTATTTGCTGAGGCTGCAGGTAGATCTGCTGCTGGGCTTGTGTTCTGCCTCCAGCAAGTCGCATATTTTTCATATCTGTGCCACATTTTGCAGAGGCTCTGTCTGGGTGAGGACTTACAGGCGTGACCTTAGGCCATGACACGGTTTTACAACCCCTGTTCCTGGAGGCTCAGCAGACACAGTGTTGCTGTGCTGAGAGCCACACTGCCCCACCGTGGGATAAACCAAATGCTTTTATTAACACTTGGTTACTCAAATGGTTGCAGCGTATTTGCTGCCCTCTATAATCACAGTCTGGGAGAAAACCATCCCAAAAAAATCATCTGGAAGACAGAAACGAAGCACAAAGACCCCAGAGCAGCCCAAACTCACCATCAGGGGACATTGGGGTCTCCTTGTATTTGTTATCTGTAAATGCAGTTAAAAGTTGACTTTTGAAGACACGGTCACCACTGTTTCTTTCCTGTCTGTCTTTCCTCTGGCCAACAGTTCAGAGAGGGGGCTCAGCTCATGTCCCTGTGGTCGAGGGCTGCTGATAGGGGCTGACAGACTGGGAAGGGGAGAAGCTGGAGGGAGCCTGGGGCAGTGCAGTGTGAGACAGGAGTCTCCCTCTGAAGGGAGAGAGGCTGAGGGCTGGAGAGGGCTGGGAAGGCAGAAGGAAAAGACTCAGGAGGCGAAGACATGAAGGGAAAGACACAGTGAAGTGAAGGACAAGAAGTACCAAGTAGTGGAAGGAAAGAGGCTGGGGAATGGGAAGGTAAATGAGGAAAACCAGCCCCTTTTGCTGGGCAGTCACAAGCACGGTGCTGGGACATCACCGTGGTGCTGCAGCCCTGGGAGCTGGGGCATTTTGCAAGAAGGCAGTTTCTGCCTGACAACAGGAGCCAGCACAATTTATGCTGAACAGGTGAACTGTGCTCTGGGCCAGTCCTATGGGTGTGCATGGCCTGGGATCACCTGAGTGAAACAGAGACACCTCCCAGGGTGAGGCTGGATCAGTGCCCAGCATGGACAGGCAAGAGGGGTGTCCCTCCTTGGGTGGCCCTGCCTTGTCCCCTTGTCACTCCTGCACGTGATGTGCCCCCAACACACTGCACATGCATGTTCTCAAACACTCATGTGGGCTCTCACACACTCATGTGTGCTCTCACACACACACACACAC